CACCAGAAAACACCATGTTGCGGAGTGTACGCCGAGTGTGTGACGTGACGCGCACAACAGATGTGTGCGGATAGCATGAACAACGATATAAGGTGATCACGACGAGGACGTTATTTGTCTTGCAACGCACGGGGAGGGAATCGTGTGGTGTGTGGGGGTGGGGAGTATGTTCGGCGCACGTTAGGTTAATAACAACTGCAAGGCTATTCATCAACCCGCTTTACAGACCCACCATTCACCAACCTCTGGTAAAAGCTTTCCGATTCACCTTCAGGTGGTGCACGCGCTGCATCTGCCACTGCTGGAGGCGCCTGCCACGTACTCGCGTCGATTCTGTCCTTCCCAGGCACAGCTCGGCGTCTTGGGCATGGTGTGTTCGCTCGTCGGTGTTGGCGAGGGTTTGTGTGATAGAGGTATGGAAGCAACGTAGCCCCAGGTCGCTAGCTGGGTGTGGATTCCTTTGTTGCTGTGTGTGTGTGTGCGTGCGTGCGTGCGTGCGTGCGTGCGTGCGTGTGTGTGTGAAACAAAGAAAAATAGAGTGATAATCTAAACTGATAACTCCATAACTGATAGAGTAGTACTCTCTCTCACCATAAGAAAACCTACGACACTCCCTCCCTCTCTCTCTCTCTCTCCATACAGGGTGCAGTCAACTGTGATTAGTCCTTTTAGCGCCAGCTAGCCGACTACGAAGATGAGGGTCGGACGATGGGCGGCTGAAGCAGGAGTCCGGCTGTGACGTCTTTTGGCAGTCAGCGTCTGCGACAGAAGGAGCACGCGTTCACGACAAACATGGCGTCTGTCAGTACAGGAGAACGAGGCAGTCGCACGTTCCGAGCGCTTAGCGGGTCAATCGACGACCCGAGGAGTCGATTCGTCGCCGAGGGCAACGTGCGATGAATCCGCCGACAACAACATGTAGAGGGCGCCTCAATTTCCGCCTCATTTCCTGTGACACAAGCGATGACTCGCGGCGTTCCGCACTTCCTTGCCGATCGGCGCCACGTCCGGCTCTGTTTCTGGCAGCTAGACAGAGTCAGCCTCAAGCTATCCTCACAGTTATTGACAGGTCGCCGATCTTGCCCGGATTGTTGGCATTTTGCCAGGGGGCAACCTACCGGGTAGCGGGGGGATTTCTCGGTGATACATCAAATTAAATTAATCTTTAATTAAATATTTTTAATTAACTCGCGTGCGTATGCGCAGCTGTCGCGTGTAGTAGATGTGCGGGTGTGAGGAGTGTATGAACAGTAATGATGTAATGATGAGTGGATGAGTAATGATGACATTCATTGTGTGAAGTACCAGGGTTAGGTAGAGATTCCATACAGCAGTGGCTAATGCTCTGGTGCCAGCTGTGTAGTGAGTGACACACACACACGCACACATACACACATATACCCATGTACGCATGCAGGCAGGCAGGCAGGCAGGTAGGCAGACAGGCAGGCAGGCAGGCAGGCATGCACTCATACACATCTAGACGTGTCTTCCCGGAGAACACCTGTGGTGAAGAAAAATCAAATGCTAGATGTAGTGCAAGCCACGTGTGATTAGTTCACTGCTCCAGCAAACCTTGTAGTGGAGCACAGATTCTGCGATGTCGCCGTTCCCTTGTTCTCCCGCCACGGCGCGAGAATGGCCACATTGATTGTAATGATTAGATTACCATTAGCGGATTTGCACGCGAGAATTGGTGTGTTAATCTCGATAGCAGAACTGTGTGATTAGTACACTAGTCTCTTCACCCGTGAGCTAGCTACATGACAAACTGCTGATTGATTGCCAATCAACAGCGAGGGTTAATAACTAGAAATGCCGTACAAACCCGTTAATGACGAAGCAGCGCCATCTATTGTCAAACAATGCTATAAATCGCGCACGGGTTCTGCCGATGTTATCAATAGTACATAAACTACTAAACTAGTGTATAAAATTATATAACTGTTATACATAAACTATAGTTTACGTACTCTTGATGTTGTGTGTTATTAATATAGCTGATAATATTGGATTAGAGGTGATTGCTTTCTAGCCATCTTATCGAACAATTCGCGCAAACTGACATTGTAAGAAACCTGTTGATTATAACAAACGTGATATTTGCTCTGATTGATATATATATACGTGATAGTTACTTTCAGTCCCAAACCCACATCCTCTCTCCTTCCTCCCCGCTCCTCTCTCTGGCTCACAGTAAACAAGTTGACGCGCATGCGCAAACGATCCGTGAGTCGTCCATAGAAGTGATATAGTAGATGAGCATGGTCTATCTCTAGGTGTCAGTATTGAGCCGGCTACAGCGGCGCCCCCTAACCTCGCGGTCACATTGATCGCCTGTAACGCAGGGTGTGTTTTTCCTCCATTCTCTTCTCAACCGTGTAACACTTGATTTGTTCTTGCGACGCGCCGTCCGTCGCCTGGTATTTATAATATAGGCGGTATATCTCTTGTTACACGAACATTACAAGACGTTTGACAGACTCGTGGGTGTTTGACATGTTTGTGTATTGTACTATATATTATATTGTATATACACGCAGAAGCAGTGCATATACGAGAGTGCATGCTGTATTCATCGAACAAGAACCCACGTATCGTAATGTAATCTGGAAGAAAATGTTACATTGTCTCGTGAGGGTGTGCTCAGGATGCGTGCGTCATGAGGATGCGTGCGTCATGACGAGGCTGCGTGCGTCATGGCGAGGCTGCGTGCATCATGGCGAGGCTGCGTGCGTCATGGCGAGGATGCGTGCATCATGGCGAGGATGCGTGCATCATGACAAGGATAGCTATAGCACAGAATGCCGGCGTCGAATAGCAATCATAAAACACTTAAGAGACGTCTAGTGTAAATAATAATGGAGTTTTTCTTATCAGGCTACGCTGTTTTCTACACACATTCTACGCATTTCCAATAGAGAAATGTCCAAATACGACATGATTTGTATGACCGCTTACGCACAGTGACATAGTAGCACAGATATATAAATCGGAGGTAAAACAAGTACTTTCCTACGCTTGTAAAATAACACTAATAAATTACTGTACACGTTTACAAGCCGCATTCCATGTACAGGCAGTCTTCGAGTAAATACGCTACATCAGCTTTGCATTAAAATTTTTGCATCATTACCATAAAAAAATTAGGCGCAACTCTCCTGCAGTTTTCCACGATTCCTAAATTCATTAATTCACTTGTACAACCTCTGAATGAGTCTACGCGCCGTTATGCGCGTCACGGAAACGCTGCCCTCGCGCAACATCACGACAACGCCACGGTAAAAAAATTATGTACAGGGTTACACGTATGCATACATACACATACATCGCTAGCAAACGTTACGTAGGCTGAACGTACGAAAACACGAGAACGACGTCTCGCTCTAAAACGATCGCACTCTTGCTGCCGAGTCTAAATATATCAACGCTCTCGTCGCACTTTCGTGTTTGCATATGCAGACATTAAGTAGAGATGAGGTAATTCCGACATACACTGCGCGACCACCGGCGCCCTCGCTCAAAACCTCATGAGGACCGACACAACACCAAAGTGCGCACTTGGCGAACCTTGTGCGTGTGATGTCCACAACCGAAAGCGACTGGAAGCACGAAAATCAATGTCAACGTTAGGAGAACTACACTTACGTACGCAGGATATGTTTACATGCTGCGTCCGCGCATCGATGGATCACCGGTCCCGCACGCGTGCGCGCGATCGTATAAACGAGTTCTCGTCGTACTACGTGGACGCCAGACCGCCGCCTCGCGGCTTCACTCACCTGCACACAGCTGCACGCACACGCGCTGGACACGCACACGCGCTGGACACGCACACGCTCACGCCTCACAGACTCGGCTGCACACACACACGCGCTGGGCACGCACACACCTCACAGCCTCGGCTGCACACACACGCGCTGGGCACGCTCACGCCTCACAGACTCGGCTGCACACACACGCGCTGGGCACGCTCACGCCTCACAGCCTCGGCTGCACACATGTCTCACAGATTAGGCCACGCACACTCCCACACAATCCACGCCAGTCGTTGTTGACCGGGCAATGCTGGCGCGCCTCGCACGACTGCTCCCCGTACACCGTCCACCCGCGACAACGCGAGACCACACGACGGTCACGCGGCTCCAAAGGCGAAGTGCCAAGACGTCGACGCACAGGTACCGGGAAGAGAGGGTCGCTCGTGTACGCGAGGGTGACGTCAGACACTTCGCTCGACTCGTTCGCTCACATCACTCGGCCGTGTGTCGATGCCGCCGCCGCCACCGCCTTGCGGGTTGACCGGAGAATGAACGGACGCTCACGCGGGGACTCAGTGAGAGAACTTGTTGAGGAGGTGGCCCATGTAGGTGTACTTGTCCTGGAAGAGCTGCCTGCACTGGCTGCACTGCAGGTCGCCGTCAGGGCCGTGCAGCGTGCGGTGGATCATGTACATCGCATTCTCCTCAAAGTGCAGTCCGCACGGCTCGCAGCGGAACGTCGCCGCCGCCAGGGTGCGCTCCGCCTCGCAGCCCGGCCGCCCGCTGATATCCGTCTGCGAGCACGCGTCGCGTGTCGTGTCACACGCAGCGTCGGCCATCTTGCTCGAGCGAGACTCGGAGCGAGACTCCGGGCGAGGCGTCTCGCCGGGCGTCTGCGTGGCGCGGTCGCCCGGTGGCGTGCTCCTAGAGGGCGCCACCAGCGGTGGCGACGGCGAGTCGCGGATGTCAACGACGTCGCGGTAGGGCGCCGTGTGCCGGTGGCTGACGGTGGCGCCGCCTGCAATCTGTGCCGCCGTGGAGACGATTGCGCTCTGCCGAGCCTCGGCCTTGCGCTGCTGCTGCTGCTGCTGCTGCTGCGCGATGCCCGCATGTGAGAACACGGTGTTCGGAGCGGCCCGCGACATCGGCGGTGACGACGCGACCGACGGAAGACTGATGAACGCTGGCGCCATCTCCTGGCTGCCGCGCATGCTGTACGCCGGCGCCCCCTGGTAGGAGTATGGCCCACCGGCGGGGAATGACGAGACGGGAGGCAGCGAGATGGAGGGCAGAGAGACGCCGCGCGTTGCAGGCGGGAGAGAGATCGCCGGCAGCGACACGGGCGGCGGCGGCGGCGCAGCGTCAGAGAGCGGGAACGAGGGCGCCGTCAGCCGCCGCATGACCATCGGCGCCCCCTTGTGGCCGCCGCGCACCGCGCTGCCGCCGGACGTCACGCCGCAGCAGTTGACCATGTGCTTGGCGAGCATGATCTGGCTGACGGAGGCGGCGGCCCCGCAGCCGACGCACGCCCACTCGTTGCCGACGCGGTTGCACGACTTGATGTGCATGAGCATGTGGCTGCGCAGGTGATGCTTCAGCTTGAAGCCCTTGCGGCAGAGGCCGCACGTGTAGTTGCGCTCGCCTGAATGCACGAGGAAGTGCTTGCGCAGGTCCGCCGGGCAGCGGAACTTCTTCTCGCAGCCGGGGCAGTTCAGCGGCAGGTGGCGCTTGCGCTGGAAGTGCAGGATGCTCGGCAGTGTCGTGCGCGACAGCGCCGCGCGCCGCACCGCCGCTGGTCGCCCCGGCAACGCGAGCCGATCCAGCGGGCTCGCGAAGCGCTCCAGCTGCTGCATCGGCTGGAAGTCAGCCGCCGTCGTCGGCGTCCGCCCGGCGCCCTCTGGCGGCGGTGGCGGGAACGCGAGGTCGGGGCCCGGGTCGGACATGAAGCCGGACTCGTGCGCGCGCTCCGACGAGTCGGGGCTCTCACCGGACGTGTTGCCCTCCGTGTTGCTCTCTCCCTGCGTGCTGCCGCCGTCGTCGATCGCCGGGTACCCCTCCGCCGCCGCCGCCGCCGCTCCCTCTACATCTTTCTCCTTCTTCAGGTTGTCGATGATGTCCATGAGGGAGCGTTCCTCCTGCTTCAGTGTCGGCACGACGCCCGTCATGCACGAGCCGTCGCTGACGAGCGAGGTCACCGCCGCCGCCGCCGCGTGACCGTCGTGGTAGCCGGCACCCGCGGCGTCATCGTCATCGTCGCGGGCCGTACCCTGCACGCCCGCGGGGCTCGCCCGCTCCTCCCGCGCCTGCTCGACTGCCTGCGGGCCGCTCAATGGCCTACCCGCGTCACCCAGGGTATCCGCCTCGCTGTCCAGCATCTGGTCGACGAAATCTGTAGTGTGTGCGTGTGTGTGCGTGTGTGCGCGAGTGTACGCGAGTGTGCACGAGTGTGTGCGTGTGTGTGCGTGTGTGCGCGAGTGTACGCGAGTGTGTGCGTGTGTGTGCGGATAGATGACAACGTATAGGTGACACGAGAGGACAGTTTTTGTCTTCAACGCTCGGGGAATGTGTGTGTGTGGGGGGGGGGGGAGTATGTTCGGCGCACGTTAGGTTATAACCTGCAGGCTTTCATCCAGGTAGATTGCCAACTCTGGTAAAAGCCTTCCGATTCCCAGCTTCCGAGTGGGTGCACGCGTGCTTGGGTGGGTGCACGTAGTGTGTGGCCTAGCAGCTCGGGTTGTGTGTGTGTGTGTGGCGAGGTTGTGTGAATAGAGGTATTGAAGCAACGTCGAGTGTAGCTTGTGATTCAAACACCATCAACTAGATTGAAATGCGGGGTGAATAAGAGAAGGGAAAGATCGAGAGAGAAAGAGATGGGGAGAGAGATAGCAGAAAGTAAGAAAGAGGGTATGCATGGGAGCGAGAGAGAGATACAGAGAGAGAGAGAGAGAGAGAGAGAGAGAGAGAGAGAGAGAGAGAGAGAGAGAGAGAGAGAGAGAGAGAGAGAGAGAGAGAGAGAGAGAGAGAGAGAGAGAGAGAGAGAGAGAGAGAGAGAGAGAGAGAGAGAGAGAGAGAGAGAGAGAGAGAGAGAGAGAGAGAGAGAGAGAGAGAGAGAGAGAGAGAGAGAGAGAGAGAGAGAGAGAGAGAGAGAGAGAGAGAGAGAGAGAGAGAGAGAGGG